TGCATACAATGCACACAAGTAAATATTTGACCCAACGCTCTTATTTTGAAGGCTGAACTGCTTCCTGTGTGACTCTGGGCTCTTGATGCAGTTATCAGTCCTGCTGATGATAAACACTGGGACAAACTAATAGGATCAAATGCCATGATGTAACCCGTCATTTCCAGAAAGTTATAGAAAGGAAGCTTAACTTTAATACTTTACATTTAGAAATGACAAGTGGAATCGTGGCGTGGTTTAGGCCTACTCCCTTTAAATAATAACAAATATATATTCTAAATACATTCACCTTTTTCTTCTGACATTGTTCAGTACGGACCAAATTCTGTCTTTAAAGTATTTTAGTATTTCATCTTACTTCTTCCTTCTCTCTGTCTATACCTGTGTACTCTCATGTTCCGATTAACCCAGCTTCCCCAAATTTCTTTCTTTTTGGTGTCTATATACGCCGGGAACCGGAGTCATGGATGATCCTGCGGTCCTGTGTCATGGATCGCGAGTCCTGGATCTTGAGTCGTGGCTGTGGTACTGGATCATAAGTCCTGGATGGATATCCTCCTGGATTCATCTTCCTATTATACACACATGCATTTCCAAACATTTTGACTACCTATGTTGCAAATGTATTATCTTTTCAATTTACACACGGCATCTATTGCACGTCTGTCCGTCCTGGGAGAGGGATCCCTCCTCTGTTGCTCTCCCTGAGGTTTCTCACATTTTTCCCTTTAAACTGTGGGTTTTCTCTGGAAGTTTTTCCTTGTACGATGTGAGGGTCTAAGGACAGAGGGTGTCGTATTGTCATACTGATATTCTGTACAAACTGTGAAGTCCACTGAGACAAATGTAACATTTGTGATATTGGGCTATATAAATAAACATTGATTGATTGATTGATTGATTGAGAAGTCCACGACTTCTTAATGGCAGAATTCCAGTGACTTTTTCAGACCGTCTATGATATGGAGACGCGATTTAATTTTCAAACAGGACTTGGCACCTGCCCACACTGCCAACAGTAGCCTACCATGACCATGGATTTGTTGTGCTTGATTATAGCAAACTCGTCTGAGCTGAACTCTATTGAGAATATATGGAATATTGTCAAGAAGAAGACGAGAGACCGACCAGACCCAACAACGTAGACGAGCTGAAGGCCACTACTGAAGCAACCTGTGCAGTCATCACAGCTCAGCAGAGCCACAGCCACATGGATGCAGTCATTCAAGCAGGCCCAACACAGTAATTGGATCTGAAACATGAACATACATTTTAGAAGGCCGATATTTCTGTATTAAATTTTTTTTGTATTGGTCTTATGTAATATTCTAATTTTCTGAGGTTCTGAATTTTTTGATTTCATAATCATCAAGCTTAAAACTTTTAATTGCTAGAAATAATTAACTTTGTGTGTAATTAATCTATATAATAGATTAGTTTCACCATTTGAATTGAATTACTGAAATTAATTACATTTTCCACCCTATTCTAATTTATTGAGATGCACCTGTATATTTGTACTGCAACAGGTCTCTCCCTTCACTGTCACCTTGCATCTGACCAGAGGGGACAGTAAGCCCGCCAAAGGATCTGCGGGACCTGCATTCTGATTGGCCAAGTCACTTCTGTGTCGGAAACGGTTTCGATTGGCTTAGGAACTTCTGTTTTATTTATCCTTTGAGAACTGGGTTACGCAAACAAAAAAACACATTACAAATGTAAATTTGAAAAGGGCACTTTTCTAATAGGAGGGCAAAAGGGCAGGTGCCCTCTGATGTCTAACTGTGCAAGAGCCTGCAGCCTGATATCACACGTGTGTCTTAGGGGCTTTAAAGTGTGTACAGCATATGAGATCCTCTGTCTTAAGACCTTTGCAGAATACAAGGTATTACTATTAAAACATAGGGAATACAAATGACAAAATGATAATGGGATTGTATATTTAAAAAAAAGGAAAGATGGATCCAGGAGGGTGTAAACAAATCATCCATGGCAACTGCCTTGTTAGGCACTGATTGCTAGTTTAATTTTCTGATAATAGTAAATAGTTGTTCCTTTGGATGACTGTTATGTTGATGGTCCCTCCAGTAGTAGACTCAACCTATAAAAACTATATAAAAAGGAAGCCCAAATATAGAAGAACTGGACTTAATTTAGTCTTTTTACATATGGCTTTAGCTTTTCTTTTATTACAAACATGTTTTACAAAAGGTTTTGAAGACTTTCGAATCAACCACAGGTGGAAAATCATGAAGAGGCTGATGACACTGCAACGGTACATCTATGCTCAGAGGCTCAGGCCACAAAGCTGTCACAGATAGTAAAAACAGCAGGGACACACCGCAGGACAACATCAGGGACACACCAGAGACACCGCGGAGATTGAAATGTTGTAGTCACAGATAAGAATGCAAAAATACAGAACGGGCATGATTCCCTAGTGCTCACATCTCATTTATGTCAGTAACACCGTCGATGTGAAGTTAACATTTGATCTCTCAGCTCTTTTCGACCAACAGCACTCACTGTGCAATCATGACGCACAACTTCAAATAAAATAAGACTGCATAAAGCAAAGGCCAGTTCAACATCATGGACCATTGTTGAGTGACCTGAAGCATGGCAACCGTCTTCATTCCCTACACAGTAAACTCCAGTTGTTAGCCGCCACCACAACATCACATTTCTAAACATGATCAGTATTTTTCTATGTCTAATTACTACGATACAGCTCTCTCAATCAGTTATTTGATTTGTGGAATTAGAGGACAGAATCAAGCATATCAAATGCATACTTAAAAATCATTAATACCATGTTAGGTTTAAAGATCCATCGGCCGACACTCGACGTGTATAAAAGTGGTTTCATTTCCAGACTGGTTGTAGGGTGAAGCCCATCATGGAGACCTTGGTTCTGCTAGTGTTCTCGTCACAAAAGGTGTTGCATAAACAGGATATGAAGTCTTTTGCATACAGAGGTCTGCAGAGTGGATTCAGTCTCATGTCTCTCTCCTCGCCTTCTTCTTCTTAGCCGGTTTGGGCGCTTGGCTCTCCTCAGGTTTGTCTGAGGAAACGAGAAGGGAGGAGCTGATTAGTCAGAATTCTAAAGCATGTAATTTACAAATGGTGAACAGGTCGTTTTAGCTCAGTTCTTGTAATTGTCATTAAGGGTTAATCTAATGTAATGGCTGTCAGATGAGGTTCAGGAAGGAATGACAAAAACAACAAGGCCAAGAAGTTAAGGACTGTTTAAAGGGGTCCTACTGTTCTTTTTGGAGTTTTCCCTACTCTAAGGGTGGGGGGGTGTAAATGTGCTCACTTTGTTGTGTAGGAGCAGAAAGGCCCTTCTGCTTGGCAGTGGTCTCTCCTTCAGTTGGCTTCTGTGGCACTTGTGTGACAGGGGGTTTCTGGGATATGTTTTCCTTCACTGGTTGCTCCACTCTCACCTAGAGGAAAAAGGAGTTAGTTGAAAGAATTAATCCGATCAAATCCATAAACAAATTGCAGTTATGTGACAAATGTACATATACATTATTTATTGCAATATGGCAGAATGATTCGTTTTATGTACACTTCCAACAGTATTCACACCCTCTGGGATTTTTTATATGAAATATGTGTTACGGCTGTTTTGTATTCCCCGTTTTTTTTCCCCTTTGGTTCCTCTACCCAGGTGTGCTGCATTGCTGTAACGAGGTTCAGAAGAGGTGCACCTGGAGAAGGAAGTCCTTAAAAGCTCCAGTGCCGCAGCAGAAGAGGGGGAGGCCTCTGGTGTGGGGACTGCTGTGCTTCATGTTACATGTTGATTATAATAAATCCTATGGATTTGATGATTTTAAAATGTGTCTTTTGTGTTCTATTTGGGTTAGTGGTGGAATTGTGTTAGCCCCATAGGGCCATTTTAAGGTTGGGGGGTAACAATATGACACAACGGGAAGCGCTCTGCAGTAAAATGCCTACACTTCCATTGTCACATTACATTGACCAATCTTGAGCTTTCACCGTACTCCGAAATTTTCCATAAGGTTAAACTGAAGTCCTAAGGACGTTAATGGGACATTCACTGTTGTCTTGTTAACAGACTAATGTTCTTAGCTAATTTGGATTCAGTAACAATTAGGTACAAGTAGTTAGTCTTTGTTTTAATTCATACTGACTGATATTTGTGTGATGTACACATACATTTTCCCACATGGATTGGACATAGACATAGTAAGTATAAAAACTGATTATACAGAAAATAAGAAGAACTGTAGTTCTTTGTATAATTTCAGATAAAGAGAATAGGCGAGACTAACCAAGACGGTACTGGTAAAAGATTTCTAGGAACCACTTAAGGAGACGTCACACATTGGAACGTAACACAGGACCACGTCCCCCTCCTCGGTCTCTTCCTCCGAGACGGACGTTCGAGCTACTTCTTCGTCCTCTCAGAGAGTCGGCAGGTCGGACAGTTTCGTCGACGACAGCTCCAGTCACCTCGATTGTAGACTGAGGTCTCGTCGAGT